TTCAGATTTTGATGGTATCAGAGTGTGAATTTGATAAGTTCCGAGCCTTGTGCATTTGTGGGACTCGTCTCATGAGTGCACGGCGTCTGTCGCGTCTCGAAATTGGGTTTTGGGGCGTGACATTCTTGGTCCCAAAACTCACTTATAATCTTTTATCTGTTGGTCAATTATGTGATCTTGAAGTAACATTTTCTTCTCATGGTTGCCATGTGCATGACCCACAGACAAGACAACTTCTTGGAATTGGTCGTAAGGTGGGACGTCTATTTGAGCTCAATTATTTGCATATTCCCCATCATAAAATGGATACACCATCATTTCCAAATGGTCAATTCATCCAAACCCTACTTTGTGCTATTGAATTAGAGTCTTTGCAAATTCCATATCAACAAATCTTCCAAGCTTGTGTTGCTACTAAAATTTCTACTCTTCATTTATGGCACTCACAACTCAGACACACCTTAGTCGGTAAACTCTGTCATCTTATATCTTGTGGTTTATTAGGATCTATTCCAAATGAATCCTTGCATTGTGTGTCATGTCAATCTGCAAAACAACTAGCTTTATCTTTTTCTAGTAGTCATTCTCTTTCTATTGCTTCTTTTGATCTCGTGCATTCTAATGTTTAGGATCCATTTTCGACACCTACCATGGGGGGTTCTAGGTACTTTATGTTATTTATTGATTATCGTACTCGTTTTACCTAGATATATCATATGAAAAATCACTCTAAGTTACCACAAATTTATATTGATTTCGTTACCATGGTCAAAACCTAATTCTCTAAAATTATCAAAGTTTTGAGAACTGACAATGCCACTAAATATTTTAATACTAAACTTCAATCATTTTTTAAATAACAGGGTACATTAACATAACAATCTTGTCCTTATACTTCTGAATAGAATGGGCGAGCCGAACATAAACACAGACACATTTTTTATTCTGTTCGTGATTTGCTCATTTCATTTTCCTGTCCGAAGCGATTTAGGGGTGAAGCTGCTTTTACAACTATTTATCTCATCAATCAAACTCCATCGTTAGTCATAAATAATAAGTCTTCATATGAATGTCTACATGGTATTCCTCCTGCCTAGAATCTCTTTAAGGTTTTTTATTGTGCTTGTTTTGTTCTTCTTCCTCCTCATGAACATAACAAGCTAGAGCCTACAACTCAATTATGTTGTTTTTTGGGCTATGGGATTACACATAAAGGATATTATTGTTGGGATCCTGTGTCACAAAAATTTAGAATCTCATGTCATGTTGTCTTTTTGGAACACAATATGTTTTCCTCGTTATCAAACTTCCAGGTGTCATCTTTTGATCAATCTCCACTTTTTACTAACCTTTCTATTGAGATATTTCCTAGTGATGCTAATGCAGATACATTTGATGAGCTCTATGATGCCTTTCCACTTGCTCCATCTGGTTCTATAGAAGATGCTCTGCTTACTGGTAATGCATTAGACAATGTTGAGTTTTCTTCTCTTACCTTTTCTACATCACTTGTTGGATCTTACCTTGTTGATATTGAGCTTGAAAATGAGATCCTTAATCCACCTTCAAGTCATCCTACTCCGGTAAGAAATCCTCCCAACTATCTTCATGATTATCATTATTTTCATGCTATTACCTCTTTACATGAGCCTCAATCCTATCAAGAGGCCTATTCTAACCCTCTTTGGCAATAGGCTATGTAAAATGAATTACAAGCTCTTGAGAAAACTCACACATGGGATTTAGTTGATCACCTTGTTGGAAAGCCTTTAGCAAGTTGTAAATGGGTGTACATGATCAAAACTTAGTTTGATGGTTTTGTGGAGTGCTATAAGGCTCATTTGGTTGCTAAAGGATTTACTTAAGAATATGGGATTGATTATAAGGAAACCTTTGCACCTATTACTCATCCTACTTCAGTTTGTAGTTTGATTGCTATTGCTGCTGCAAAAGGATGGAAATTATTTTAGATGGGTGTGAAAAATGCTTGTCTAAATGGTGATCTAGTAGAAGAAGTTTATATGAAACCACACTACTGGAAAACCAGGCAAAAATGACAAGAACATATTCGATAGCCAACTAAACACATATTCGACAAAAATGCTGTCAAATATGCTTGATTGTGGATTATAATCGATTTTTTGGTTCTTATTCGACAGAACACATATTCGACAAAAGAGTTGTCGAATATGGTACATATTCGATAGAAATTCTTCTGTCGATTGTGTTTTGATATATTCGACAGCATTGCTGTCGAATATGTAGGAAATAATGATGTTTCCTCTGTATATTGCTTCTTGCCGTCGAGCCCCCTGCTGTCGGAATATCCCACCGGTGACGTTGACAGTGAGTTGGCCCCTCTCCTACGCAGTAGATCTAGTTTTTTTTTTCCTTGGATTTACAGTCGGCATTTGCATATTTCCCTGTAGATCTGTGCCTTTTGGTCTAAGATCCATCCCCTCTAAGCCACCATGCGCCTCCATCGTGCCTTTTGTAAGTTGCAGCACTCTCTGT